GGCTGGAGGGTTTAACTTTATACTTTGTCCTAACTTTTATATGCAAATGAGAGGAAGTATGATGCAATGTAAAGGGCACGGGCTTTTACAGGCACAGAAAAGAGGCTCTGAGAGGTTCACTAATTTGGGCAAAGTCGCACAGCTTCCAAGCAAAAGGGCTGAGCTTTGCATTTGGTTCAGGGTGACTGTAGAGAGTCCAGTAGAACTTTCTGTGATCATGGAAACGTTCTGTAACTGTGCTGTCCAACATGGCAGCTACTGGCCACATACGACTATTGAGCCCTTGAAATGTGGTTAGTGCAACTGAGGGACTGAATTCTAAACTATATAAATATTTTTTTGAGACAGGATCTCACACTGTTGCCCAGACTAGAGTGCAGTTCTATCACAGCTCACTGCAACTTCAAATTCCCAGGCTTCAAATGATCCTTCCACTTCAGCCTCTGAAGCACCTGAGACCTCAGGCACACGCTACCATGCCCAGTGAATTCTTAATATTCTTTGTATAGGCAGAGTCTCTCCACATTGCCCAGGCTGGTCTCAAACTCCTGAGCTCAAGCCATCCTCCCACCTCAGCCTCCCAAAGTGCTGGGATTACAGGCATGAACCTCTGGGCCTGGTCCTATTTAATTTTGATTAATTTCAATTTAAGTAGTGTAACTGATGCTATGTAATTGTGCTGCACAGACTTAGAGTGCCCAGGCTTGACTGACCCAGTGAATGTGGAGGGCTCCCTGGCTCCCTCTGGTCAGGGCCCTTCTAGGTGGCGGTGTCAGAATACCCAGCCAGAGCCTGGTACACAGTCAGTGCTCAACACAGAGCGGCTGAGGGGCTTATGGGCACCCAGGCCTCATTTCCATTAAGTGACAGATCTAAACGGGGGGATGGAAGGGAAGAAGGAAGGTGTGTGTGTGAGCTGCCATCACAGAATCACTTTCCCCCATCCTCTGAGGCAAATGTGGGAAAGGACTAGCCCTCAGCGAGGTCAGGGCAGCCCCTTGGTGACTAAAGCTCGCAGGAATCCACACCCAGCTGGATTTGTCGCCCAGAGAAAACCTTCCCAGAAGGGCCCAGCTTCCAGCGAGCTGGGAAGACGTGTCAGGGAGATTAAGGCGCCTCTGGTATGTCTCTGGAAAGCAGCCGACATACCCCGAGCTGTCGTCACGACAGACCCAGATGGGAGCTCACCCGGCCAGACCTAAATCATTCTGATACATGGTGGAAGGTGTGAGGCCCCAGCCCTGATGGCCACTGCAGCCCGCCGATGCACTGCTAAGCCCTGGGAGGCCCTGCTGTCACACCTCCGGCCTAAATCAGGCTGTCCTCTCCCCTCTCCCTTGACCAGCAAGCACTCCCTTCCCTGGCTTATTGAGGCCTCTGACTAAACCACGTCTCCTCTGGGAAGCCTTCCTATCCCCGCCTTCCCAGGCTGAGTTGGCCCTGCCTGTAGCCCTGGCGAATCATTAATCATTAGTCGTTAGCAAATAAGTCAACCTCTGCTGCTCTCCCCACAGCATAACCCGAGCAGAGGGCCCCAAGAAGGACAGCTCAACTGCACGCCACTTCCACAGGGTGAGGCAGCTGCACCTGTGACATTTTTGCCACCACGATGTCTCTTCTCTGCCATAGCATCTCAGTCAGTGCAGCTCAAGCTTCCCCAGAAGCATCTCTCAGGCCACCTACTGCCCATTAGACAACTCCTTGCTCCTCAAGCTATTCCTAGCACCCCCCTGCCCCTGCCAATATACCCTCCAACTTTGAGGATTCTCCATCGAGGTGTTTTCAAATGACATGGTAACAAACAGAGATTTGATTTTATTTTCATAGATTCTTACTTCCTTGTCAGAGCCACTTAAAAGGGAGCTAGGTGAATCCTCAGCTGGCGACTGTGCAGGGCCTGAGTTAGAGTGAGAAAAAGAGAGGGTATTATATCTAGGGTAATCAGGGAAGGCTTCAAAGAAGAGGGGGATTTAACCTGTGACTTTAGTGACAAGGAAGGACATTCTAGGCCGAGGAAATAGTACGGGCGAAGGTGCGGAAGCCTGAGATAGGATGCAGCATTCCAGGACCCTGCAGTGGTTTGGTGTCATAGGAGCTGGAGGGGTGACGGAAGGAGTAGGAGGTAATGCTGAAGAGGTGAGGAAAAGGGTGAAAGTGCCTTGCAGGGGAGCACAGACTCGATGCTGGAGGCTGGGGTTTCCCAGGCTTGTCCTCCAAACACCAGGCCCAGGGAGTTCTCTGCTCCAAAGGAGGGGTGGGATTCTCTGTTCTCCACGTGGAGACTTCCTCTGACACGGCTGCTGCTGCAAATGCTTTCACAGTAACTACCTGGGGCTATCTGCAAGGCACCGGGCCATGCTGTAACCATGGTGCATGCAGCACTGTATGACCCACATCATGACCCTATGATCTAGGTACTGTTGCATTATCCCCATTTTACAGGGAAGTTAAGAAATGTTCCCAAGGTCACACAGCTAGTTGATGGTAGAGCTGAGGTTTAAACTCTAGCAATCTGACTTTGAGCTGTCTCAGAGGAAATAACCTGCTTAACTTTTTGTTTCATCCAGCATTTCCCAAACTTCCTTTTTATGTAATTATGGAAAAATTGTTTTCCACATCTAGTGACACTATAAAAGGCAGTTGATTCTTTGTCAATGGTAAGTTATTATAGGGTTCTGACCTAGGAGGCTTGATTTGATTTGCAAATATTCTTAGTAAACTCATTATCAGTCACTTACATTTTAGTGTGAATTAGTCCTTTCTTGGGGTCTCTCCACTTTCTTATAAGCTCCCTGAGGGCAGGGCAGGTACCGTTTGATTCACTGCTGTGTTCCTAGTACCCAGGAGGTGTGGCACTAAATGGTGCTATAAGAACATTTGCAAGAATGAGTTGGAATTCTCCTGTTGAAGACTATAGGAACAGTGGAAAGAAAGGTTGTAGTCTAGTAGGCAGGTAGCGGTAGTGTCAGCATGTGGGAGACAGGAGTCAGTGGTGGCTGTGGGGGATGTCCTGGGAATCGGAGTCATTGAGCTGGAGTAGAAAGCAAGACTCACTTGTATCATGGCACAGGTAAAGGCCAGGTCTGGGCTGGGTGTAGTGGCTCATGCCTGCAGTTCCGACATTTTAGGAGGCCAAGATGGGAGGATTGTTTGAGCCCGGGAGTTGAGCAAAACACAAATCCAAATGTTTGTTTTCTCTTCTAGGAAGTAACCAACCACCTGATTATTTGGAAAATGAGGCATTTGTTGGAGTTGAAGGTATAGCAAAAAACTTTTGGTTTTAAGAGTCAAAGTCAGAGAAAAAAAACCTCTCAGACTTGTATTCACACCCACCCCCCACCCCCAAGCTACTGCAAAGAGCAGGGGCTTTGGAAGATTGGTTTGTTGAAATGAAGTTCCTTAGATGAATGTACCTGGGCCCATTTCTCTCATTCAAAAAAAGACAAGACAGAGATTCAGAGACGGCAAGGTCACAGAGCTGATTAAATTGGAATCAGAATCTTCCCAGCTGGGAGCTCCGTCCATGGTTTCAGAGACTGTGCCCCAGTGCCCTCTCACCGCCTCTCCCCCACGCCCCACCTTGGCCCTGTCCTCTTCATCCTCTGCCCCTGTCTCGTATGTCAGGAGGAGGAAGCCCCTGTGCGCACCCCACCCTTTACCTCCCACCCTCACTGCAGACTGCACTTCCCTCTCCCTGCTGCCTGCCGCCTGACTGCCCCTAATGAGATTACAGATCTCTGGTGAAATAGACGAGGGTTAATTCCCCCTGGCTTTACAGGACAGGGCAGGCCAGGCCACAAGAAATAGCAAAAAGACACCCTTTCTCCAAAGCACTAAGTGTGATAATGACCCTAAGAGTCTGTTCCCCTGTTCAGCATGCCAGGGTTCACACTGCGCTTCCAAATACCCTCTGGGTGGAATCTTGTACCAGCTCTAACAAAGTAGATGCTGTTATCATCTCTATTTTACAGATGGAGAAACTGAGGCACAGTGAGATGAAATGCTTGTCTGAGGTCACACAGCTAGTAAGTGGCAGAGCTGGGACCTGAATGAAAGTCTCTTGGGCTCTGTCATCTGTAAAAAATAATAGGTCCAGAGAGCCTGCAGGGTGCCCAGCACCAGGTTTGAAACAGCCCTGAAGCATCTATGTCCTGTTTCCCGGTGAGTGGCACAGCCCACCTTTGAACTCAGGTCCCCTGGACTCGAATCTACATTCCCCGCAATACTGCCAAGCACCCTTGAATCTACCTGCCTGCTCATGTGGTGGAAACAGACTGGCTTAGCCCCGACTTCTGACCTCTGTGACCACGGCCAAGGGACTGGCTCTTGGGGTCTCAGCCTCCCTTTCTGAAAAATGAAGGTGGGAACCCCAGGGTCTTTGGGACGATTCCCTGTGATTAGCATAGGTAAGGCAGCCAGCACAGGCCTGACCCACAGCACATGCACTCACTCAACTCAGTTTCTTTATCTGTAAAATGGTGATATTGATAGTACTTATTTCTTGGGATTGGTGTTAGGATTAAATATGCCAGTACATGTAACTTTCTTCTAGAATGGCACCTGGGGCACAGCAAATGCTTAATTAATGTAGAGGATAACTGATGTTTTACTGTCTTGTTTTCGATTCTTTCTGGAAGGAAGCGGGGTAAAGATCAAACCAAGCAAGCGAATGTTCCTCTTGTTCCTCCCAGTACCTGGTCCACTCAACTGTTTAAAAGGAACGCTTGGCTTTGAGGGCTGAACTCCCAGATCACGTGGTCTGCTCTAATTTCCCAGGCCCTAATCTGCTCCCAGCTCCTAATGATGCAGCTGGTAATAGGATTGTGGCTTCCCTCTAGGGCAGCCACACAGGCCTGGCCGAGGGGCTGGCGACTGGTGTTAAGCAACTCTGACCACCTGCCTACTGAGGGGCTAGAGCCCTCAGCCCAGACTCTGTGCCCCCGGCCGGCCTCTTGTGCATGGAATGGTGCTGTGCCCCTTGCCAGCAGGCCAGGCTTGCCATGGTGCTGCATGCCATCTTGGCACGGGGGAGGGACGTGTGCAGGCGGAATGGACTACTCATCCTGTCTGTGCTGTCTGTCATTGTGGGCTGCCTCCTAGGCTTCTTCCTGAGGACCCGGCACCTCTCACCACAGGTCAGCCACCCGGAGCATCTCGGGGTCCCCGTCCAGGAGGGGTGTGTGGGCCTGAGGGATCTGGGGTCACATTCTCGTGTCACAGCTCCCTGGTGCCATGACAGTGTGTGAGTCCCTCTGCCCCCTGGGTCCCGGTTTTCTCATCGGTAACATGGGTGTGATAAACACTTTGCAGGACTAGAGGGAGGAACCAGTCACGTGGCTGGGGAGTGATTACAAACCTAGCACTACCAGGTAAGAAGAGGCAAGGGTGCCTCATGACGACAAACACAGGGCCAAGAGTTGCGGCGGGGAAAGAGGGGGGTGTTGTGTGAGTTCAAACAGGCACCAGAGAACACCTCCTAAAGGCTGCTCAAATGACAAGAGATCCAGGAAGGGCGCTCTAGGCAGAGGTGACAGCAGGTGCCAGGTGCAGGGGCCGGAGCACAGAGGCCAGCTGGCCCATAGGTCCCATTACCATGTGTGGGCTTGCAACAACCATGAGATGCTTTTGGGCAGAAGAGCGACAGGCCAGTTGGAGCTTGGGAGATCCCTCAGGTGCTGAGTGGAGACGGGATGGTATCAAGGCAGGCAGGGGGCCGAGTAAGGGGCAGCTTGAGGGAGACCTGGTAGTGCAGATAAAAGGGATAGACGTGAGAGCTGTTTTCAAAAGGAGAAGCTTCAGGATGTGGGGGCTGATTGGATGTGGGCTGGGGGACAGGAAGGGGAGCCAGGTCCCAGGTTTCCAGCCTGTGTAACTGCCATGGGGAAGCTGCTTTGCCTGGGAAAGAGCCCCTTTCCCTGTCAACCCCCATCTCTTACAGAAGAGGGAGGGACATTCCCATGGTGTTAAAGAAAAAATCCTCTGCCACTGGTGAAACTGGTAAGGAAGGCTGTATGCAGGACTATTGTGATGGGGGTAGGTGTCAAGCCCTCCTGGGGAGAGAGATGGGACCCAACCACAAAGACAACAAAGCCAGCTGGAGATTTACAGCCAGTGAGCAGAGGGAGGGGGTCGGGGACAGCAAATGGCTGCAGGAGACATCAGGGTAGGGGGATTCTTGCTGAAGGCAGGCCAGGGTGGCCAGACATTGATCTGGGATGGGGAATCTGGTCCAGTATTGGGATGCTGAAGGGTGAAGGATCCTCACTAAACTGACTCGGCAGGACTTTTGCTACAGTTGGACTATGCAGGCCAAAGACAAGGCCCAAGGACAAAGCCCAGTGGAAAAGAGGGCTCAGAGGAGACTATCTAAAGTGTGGTCAAGGAGAGAGCCTTTGTCAATGGGCTCCTGGAAGAGTCCCTATTCCCAGAAAGTCCTCTTCCCTGCTCACTAAGGTCTAATGCTATCTCTACAACTGGCGTCAGGCATGAGACTTTGTCTCCCATTAAAAGGAAAACACCCACTCCTGGAGAACTGAGCCACGACTATGGTGACCCTGTTAAGCCTCGAGCAGTTATTTAGAAAGAGGTGTGGACTCTGGAGGCAGAGAAACCCTGAACTTTGACTCTGCTAGCAAATGGCTGGGCAATATCCTCTCTCCTCCCTGGGCCTCAGTTTCCTTATCTGTAAAATGGGATATGGGGCAGTATATGTCTACTGGAATTGTTATGAGGAATAAACCAAGGATTCATTAGTGCCCAGCATACAGTAGGTGCTTACTACATGTTACTTCCCCCTCTCTCCCTTATCTACCTGTTAAAGTCCTGTCTACATCAGGAACCATCTCATCTCCCATAGCTGATGAAAAGTAACTGTAACCCCACTGCTGGCCACCTGGCTTCAGAGCTGGCTATGTGGGTGTCTCTTTCTCCCACGAAGCTGCACACTGCTGAACAACACATGGGTTTGTTTGTTTGTTTTAACCAAAACCTGAGCCTAGCCCTGTGTCAGGCACAGAGAGAACGCTCAACTATTTGCTGCATTAAACTGGCAATGGAACAAAAAATCTGCAATCTGTTCTCTTTAATTTTCCTCAGCAACAAAAATATATCTCCTGCAGGAAGATTATTTTGTGAAAACAAATTGGAATGCCTATTATTAAAAGCCAAACTCATCTGGGGCCTCCTTTGCCAAAGCTGCCTTTCCCATCTGTTTGGAAATGCAAATGTATTCCGGTCTGGATTAACCTGCCAGATAAATTGAAGGAAGGATGTAGAGGCTTAGAACAATTATTTGGCAGGAACTGGCTTTCTCAGCATCTTACTTTGAAATCTGGGATTTCTCTGTTTGATCTCTTTGCCTGTGACTCAGAAACTAAACCCTTCTTGTTTTGTAAGCTTATGCAACAGGCAAAAATCATAAACAATTTGGAAAATGGTAGAATGTTCTATTTGTGAAAAGAATTTACAAAATCACAGGATTTTGTCTTGGGATATGAGTATCTCATTTAAAAATACTGAGCATTTTGAGTCTTCAGTTAAACCATGGTGAATTACAGTTGTATCCATTTTTTTCCCTCCTTCCTAGAATTCCACTAACATTTTAGTAATGGGATTTTTAAAAGATAAAACCACAAAGAATAAAGGGAATATAAAAGGAGACAGTTGAGAAAGGAAGTCGAGAGGCTACAACAAATTAGACAATATGGAGGTGGGTGGAGCTTATGACCTTGTTCACAGAAAGCTGGAATCTTAGTCTGTGGAAGTCGATACCAAGCCAGTTTGCCTTGTAGACTGCAGAACATAAAAGAGCAAGATGCTGCACTAGGCAGGGTGAGGCTGGGGTTGAAAGCCCGGGCATGGTTTGGAATTTTGTAACCAGAGGAGTTAGACCCCTAGGGACCTTCCAGTTCAGCTGGGGGACTCATCCACCCATCTCCACCCCACTGCCTGCCCCAAAGAACCAGAGAAGCTGGACTTGGGGGTACTGGGCCACCCCTGTGTGTGTTGGGGAGAGGGCCATGCTGAGGTACCTACTTCAAACTAATTAGCAGACATTTTCATCTGGGTGGGGTCCCCAGCCCAGTTTCAGATCGCTGTCAGCTGAGCTTAGGCACCATGTCATTCCTCAGGCAAAGGCAGGAAGAGACTTCTCTCACTGAAGCCTCAGAGAAAAGATCTCTAAATTCTGCTATAAAGGAGACTCCTCTACCATCCACACAGCCCCAGTGAAAAAGCCAGATCAGCACCTGTCGCCCTGCCCTGAGGGCCGTCAGTTGACAAGCCCCACTCATACACGCAGAAGTTCAGCGCTTCAAACTTACATATGCCACGCCACCAGCAACGTGAGGAGACTGCTAACATGAAACAGAGTAAACGAAGAGAAAAGGGGGTCTCTAATGAGAGAAACAAAGAGAAAAGGGGGTCTCTAATGAAGCAGAGACAAAGTGGGGAGGAGAAGGAAGCTTTGTAAATCTCCTCTTAAGTTTTCCCGAGTGAAGATATAGTTACCGTACAACAGAGGGGATGCAAACAGAAGGAACAATCAGAGAACAAAAAAGAATCTGGGGAAATTAAAACTAGAAGAACTAAGATAAAAATGTGAGTAGCTCCCCAACACATAGAAAGGATAAATACTCAAAGTGTTGGAGACCCTGAATACCCTGATTTGAACATTACACAGTGTATGTAACAATATACCAACTGTACCCCATAAACATGTACAAATATTATATATTAATAGAAAAGCTTTGGCTAGACCTGGTGGCTCACACCTGTAATCCTAACACTTTGGGAGGCCAAGGCGGGTGGATTGCCTGGGCCCAGGAGTTCAAGACCAGCCTGGGAAACATGACGTGAGACCCCATCTCCAAAAAAACCCATTAATGTCAATAACTGGGATAAAGTTGTAGAAATCTCCCAGAAACTAGAACAAAAAGAAATGAAAATAGAAAAGAAAACATAAGAAAATTAGAATGTTCAATGTCCAGCTACCTAATGACACTTTTAGAGAGAGAGCTAACAGAAGAAAAATAGAGGAGAAACAGTTTGCAGAGAATCTAAGCAGTTTCTCAGAAGTGAAAGGTAAGCATAGCACTGTCAATTTTGTTTAAAAAAGAAAGAAAACCCCATACTATGGCCCATCACCATGAAATTACCAAAAAGTGGAGATAAACAGATGATCTTTGGATGGTTCTGGTGGAATAAAACCAACATCATTTAAGGAACAGGAAATCAGAATGACCTTGAACACCTTAAGCAAACTGGAAGCTAGAAAACAAAGGAGAAACATCCTCCAAACCTGAGGGGAAATTATTTCCAACGAAGTGTCTCACATATGATATTATCAGAGGTGAAGGTAGAATAAAGGCATTTTTACTCATGTAAGGACTCAGAAAAGTTTATCTCCCATCCACTATTACTCAGAAAGCTACCAAAGGAGATGTTTCAGCAAAACAAGGAAGTAAACCAAGAAGACAAGGATCCCAGAAACAGGGGACCCTCTAAAGGATAAGTTCCAGAATGACAATCAAGAAGGGAACCATGACAAGCACTGGGCCTACAGAGCAGTCAGTCCAAACTGGAGCAGGAAGGTGGAGAGCTCACGGACCAAGGTCCCAGGCAGGATAAAAGAGAACTAATGTGCTTGAGAGAGCAGAAAATACTATCATTAGGTAGTTTAGTAGACATGTTAAAATGTTTGGAAGAAATTAGTGGGTGATTCTCAGAAAGCAAGACAAATAAAAATCAGTCAATTAACTTTAGGCTACAAGCAAGGAGGCATGGTTGTTGTACATTACTTGGCTCAACGGTAAGCACTGTTTGACGATCAAAACATTGTAAATCTTGACTATTGATTTGCCTAAAAATTGATATAAATATAATGGTGAAATAGGTGGAGAGAAAGGGAGTAAGAACTGAGTTTTCATCAATCATGGCAGGGAAGTTGATAGATGTCAAAATGATGAATCAAGAAACAGCACTCTGACCATATTATCTAGAAATACTGATACTATGGGAAACAGCTAGAAGAATTGGGCATGTTCACTACTGGTAAGTTGTGAGATAGGGATAGAGAGAGATGAGGAAAGAGTTGCCTTTTTATCAGTAGAGCACTGTTTTATATATTTATTTATTTACTTTTATTTTTAATTTTTTAAGATAGAGTCTCCCTCTGTCGCCCAGGCTGGAGTGCAGTGGCGTGATCTCAGCTCACTGCAACCCTGCCTCCCGGGTTCAAGCGAATCTTGTGCCTCAGCCTCCTGAGTAGCTGGGACTACAGACACACACCACCATGCCCAACTAATTTTTGTGTTTTTAGTGGAGACGGGGTTTTGCCATGTTGGCTGGGCTGGTCTCAAACTCTTAACCTCAAGTGATCCACCTACCTTGGCCTCTCAAAGTGCTGGGATTACAGGCATGAGCCACCGAGCCTGACTATTAGAGCAGTTTTAACGTAAAGAATACATGTGGGGGCCAGGTGCAGTGGCTCACGCCTATAATCCCAGCACTTTGGGAGGCTGAGCTGGGAGGACTGCTTGAGTCCAGGAGTTTGAGACCAGTCTCGGCAACGTAGCGAGACCCTGTCTCTACAAAGAATACAAAAATTAGCTGGGCTTGGTGGCACACATCTGTGGTCTCAGCTACTCAGGAGCCTGAGGTGTGAAGATTGCTTGAGCCCAGGAGGTGGAGGTTGCAGTGAGCCAAGATCGCACCACTGCACTCCTGCCTGGGTGACAGAACGAGGCCCTGTGTCAAAAAATAAAATAAAAAATATATATATATATATATATGGACTAAAGTTAATTAAAAATATATCATTGGCAGGGTGCGTGGCTCACACCTGTAATCCTAGCACTTTGGGAGGCTGAGGAGGGCGGATCACAAGGTCAGGAGATTGAGACCATCCTGGTCCACATGGTGAAACCCCGCCTCTACTAAAATACAAAAAATTAGCCGGGCATGGTGGCACATGTAGTCCCAGCTACTTGGGAGGCTGAGGCAGGGGAATTGCTTGAATCCGGGAGGCAGAGGTTGCAGTGAGCCAAGATGGCACCACTGCACTGCACTCAAGCCTGGCAACAGAGCAAGACTCTGTCTAAAAAAAAAAAATATATATATATATATATATATATATAGAGAGAGAGAGAGAGAGAGTCATGATGGGCATATTTCTTTAAAAAGCATATTTTCTGGTGCATTGGAAATGGTAGCAGTACAGGACTAAGAGGCCTGATTCCTGGTCCTGTGCTGCGGTTAACATTGGGTGGGCCCGTCACCTCCCTTTTGCGGTTCAGCTTCCTCATCTATCACATGAGTGGGCTGGGCTAGAAGATCTCAAGAGTCCCCTCACAGCACCAACATTCGATGATTTGGAGGTTTTTAAAGCATCAGATCATTAACCAAGTATGTTTGGCTTTGGTTAAAAAAAAAAAGTTGCAAGTACAACAATTTAACTTGGATGATGTTTGAAAGTCCATTTGCCTGCCTCGCCCACAACCTCACCCTCTGAAGAAAGTGGCCCCACGCCAGAGTTGCCAGAGTAGCAAAACTGAATTAAGTTAAAAAAATTTTTAAAAACAGCACACCCAGATAAACTGGAGTTTCAGATAAACAGCAATTTTTTTTTTTTTAAGTATAAGAATGAATTACACGTTGTTATCTGAAAGTCAGATTCAACTGGGCTTAGTAGCCCTTCTGCTTCAGGTGTCAGGTCCTGGTCACGTGACTGTTACTTGGGAGACAGCTTATTGGGCAAGGAATTGGCTCCTTAGTCAAAGATCCATGGACAGGCTGGAGCCAGCGGCCTAGGAAGGAGTCAGGCCTAAGAACTCTGCTAAAGGGGGCTGTTTCTACTGCATGGTGTCGCACCCATTCAATCTGATCCTCTCTCTCAGCATTTTTGGGGAGAAGCGCTAGAGAATGGACCCAAAACAGATGGACAAACTGACTTGCAAGAAGGCCATGGTCTGCTTAGGAGTGGGTCTCTTCACCAGCTAGGCTGGGGATTTCTCGGGGCAGGAACCCTACCTAGTTCATGTTGGGGTGCCCACCATGATGCCTGGCGTGATGCGGGTTGAATGAACGCGTGAGCAGTACTCGGCTCTGTCCTCTCGTCACTTGCCATCTGCTACACAAGAGAGATTTTATTCCATGGCTAGGCAGATGCGTGGTGCAGATGGGAGGAGAGCTGTTATTTACAGGATTATCGAACATTTACTGTCATCCAGGCGCTGTGCTAAGTGCTTGTGTGCATTCTCCTGTTTAAGCCCCTGAATGACCCAGTGAGGCAGAGTAGTCCCCCCTTATCCACTGCTTCACTTTCTATGATTTCAGTTACCAGTGGTCTGAAAATGGGTGAGAACAGTACTGTAAGTGATTTTAAGAGAGACCATATTCACATAACTTTTATTACAGTATCTTCTAATCGCTCCATTTGATTATTAGTTACTGTTAATCTCTTACTGTGTCTAATTTATGAATTACATTTTATCATAGGTATGTACATATAGGCAAAAAACAACATCCATAGGTTCAGTCTCTGTGGTTTCAGGCATCCACTGGCGGTCTCGGAACATGTCCCTGAGAATAAGTAGGGACTACGGTAGTTATTACCCTCATGTTATAGACGAGAAAAATGCAAAAACTCAGAGTGGTCACAGAAGATGCTTAAGGCCACACAGCTTATGGTGGATTGGTGGTGGTTGGGGGGGGCGCTGTTTACCAGAATTGGAACCCAGTTCTGTGGCTCCAAAGCCATTTCTTTCTCCTTGGACTCCGCTGCCATGTGCTAGACAGGGGAGTCAGATGGGATAGAGCTTCAAAGACTGTGAAGAATGGAACCACTGTGCAGTCTACATCTCTTGCTATAACCCCAGTTCTTACTGTGTTTTCAGGAAATTAGTTACTTCCAGTTCCCTGGAGAGCTCCTGATGAGGATGCTGAAGATGATGATCCTGCCACTGGTGGTCTCCAGGTGAGAGCGGAGTTTCGGCCAGGCGGTCTGGAACCAGGAGGGGAGAGGATGGCTTCTGTTGCTGCCCTGCTCCTGCTGTGGGTGGCTGGACAGCAACCACAGGCCGTGGGAGGAGTGTGACTTCAGGGCCTTTATGGGCAGTGCTGTGGGCTGCTGGCTTCTGAGTCATTTAGTGGCCCCAATTGTTGGTTCCATCCAGTAGAATTTTTAGTGGGCAGAACATGATTTGGAGTCAAAGGACATGACCTGACTCCAAGATAACTCAAGGCCAGGGAACTGAGGGATGACTTCCCAGAGGAGGGGCTGTTCATGGTGACGCAGCAAGGCCTGGAGAAAAGAGAACTAACTCTGATGATATTCCAGTGATCATATCCTGGCTCGGCTGTGTAACTTTGGACACATTATCTCACCTTCTATGCCTCAGTTTCCTCATCTGTAAAATGGGAATAACAACACCTACTTTGAAGGGTTTTCATGAAGACTATGTGCTTGTGTATGCTGAGCACTCAGGAGGTTGGGACTTGGGACAAGAGAGGGACGGTGGGAGATGGGTTTGGAGGGTGAGCTCTTGCCCAGTCATGAAAGACCTTGAACACCAGGCTGAAGAATTCAGACCTCACCCAGTAGGGTGCGGGCCACAGAAATCATGGGAGATCACTTGGTCCCTTTCACTGATGTGCTAGGGTGACCTTGAGCAACCCTATCCCTGTCCAGGCCTTGAGTTTTCCAGATGTATAATGAGTGGCTGCTCCAGGTGATGTCTAAGAACCTTTTGCTCTGAGGCCATGAGAAATCTTCATCTTCCAGGACTCCTCCGCAGAGAGGAAAGAGGATGAGCCTCTGCATGGGCTCTGCCTCCCGACCTCCCTGCTGCTGAGCAGTGAGCCAGCTCCTCGGCCCTCTCCCCTTTGTGAAGTGGAGATAATCCCCAGGCCAAGGGCGCTTTGTATTTTCTGCACAGAGGCCTTTGCAAGCAGCATTTAAATCTCTCAGGACTCAGCCTTCAAGGCTCTGCTGAAATGCTACCTCCCTCAGGAAGCCTTCCCTTACTCCTCAACTCACTCTAGTGACTGTCTCCTCTTACTACATCTTTGGAGTCATTCACTGAGCCAGTGAATCTGTCAGGGTCAGCAGTCGTCTACGTTGCTGAATCTGTATGACACGTCCGGTTCTTCCACGTGGCCTCTCCACAGCCATGGGTGCAGCTGATTACTCTTGCCCTCATGAAATCCCCTTCCCTGTGGACTCACACTCTCCTAACTTTTTGCCTGCTTTCTGCCCATCCATCCTGGTCTCTTTCCTTCTACTCAACCTCCAAATGTTCAGTTTCTCCAGCCTTTTCTCATCTAATTTCATAGCTTTAATGTACCACCTACAAGCCCAATGCCCCCAGATGGAGATCTTCCCAGACCTCTCCTCTGAGCTCCACACTTCATTAGCCAACTGCCTATTTGACATCTCCACTTGGATGGTTCACAAACATTTCAAGTTTTGTTTTGTTTGAGACAGGATCTTGCTGTGTCACCCAGGCTAGAGTGCAGTGGCACAATCTCAGCTTACTGCAGCCTCGGCTTCCTGGGTTCAAGTGATCCTCCCACCTCAGCCCCCCAAGTAACTGGGACCACAGGTGCGCACCACCACACCTGGTGATTTTTTTTGTATTTTTTGTAGAGGCTGGGTCTCACCATGTTTCCCAGGCTAGTCTCAATCTCCTGAACTCCAGCAATCCACCTGCCTCAGCCTCCCAAAGTGCTGGGATTACAGGCATGAACCACCGTGCCCAGCCACACTTCAAGTTTAATGTCACCAACTTGAAGTTTTACCCAGCAAACTGCCTCCTTTTCCTGTTTTCTTCTTGTCCGCAAATGGCAGCTCCATCACCCAGGTCTTCCATCAGGCCTGTCATTGGCTATCCCCTTTCTTTCAACCCCACAGCCCCATCCGCAGCTCCAGCGGATTCTGCCTACTCAGTCGAAGAATGGAGCTTCCTCCCCACCCTACAGGCCAAGGTACTCTCTTCTCACATCCGGACTCCACCGCCACCTCACTGGTCTCCTCGCCTCACTTCTTGTTCCCTCCCATCCATTCCACCCAGTGGCTAGAAGGATCTTGAGAAAAGTAGATTGGGCCCTGCCCCTCATTTACCTTCAAAGGCTTCCATGACATGTAGACTCAATCTGCAGACCATTAACCCGGTCTAGGAGGCCCTGCGTGATCTGCCCTGCCCATCCCACCTCATCCCGTGTCACACACTCCAGTCCCCACCAGCCTCGAGTTCCCTAAACAGACCAAGCCCTTACCACCTCAGGGCCTCCACACATGCTGTTCCTTCCTCTGGAACACGCTTCCCCAACATCTTATACCTCTTCTTCCTCCTCTTTTTTTCCATCTCAACTTGCACATCATCTTCTTAGGAAGGCCCTCCCTACTGACCCCTTCACACCACCCTGGCTCTCCCTCACTGTACCCGTATCATATATTGTCATTCTACATGCATTCACTTGTTGATTAGTTTCTTTATCTCCCATTGGGCTGTCCGCTTTGTAAAGTTAACGAGGCTACTCTGCCTAGATTCGACTCTGTGTTGTCAGCACCTAGCCAAGTGCCAGGCACATGGTAGGTGCTTATTAATACTGGTCAAGTGAATTAATGAATGGATCCAGCAATCATGCATTGTGCTTTCTGGACACTTGGCCCTGTGCTGGGTGCTGCAGACACAGAGATGATGGAGAGATTGTCTCTGTCTCTGGAGAGACTATCTTGTGGTGTTCACAGACTGCTGGGAAGACTGACAGGAACATAGACAATCACTGAACAGCTAAATAAGTGCACTGGTAGAGGAAGCTAGGACCCTTGGCAGCAGCTCTGTCTGCCCTTTCCTGCTGACTGTCCTAACTGCCTGGGCGTTACCCCTCTCTCAGAACAGAAGCACCTTAGAGGCCGTTGTGTGGACCCTGGAATCACACAGCCTGGCCTTGCTATGTATTACCTGTGTGGCCTTGGACAAGGCACTCAACATAAAACACAAAAATCCTGTTCAGAAGTCAGAGGCCTGGGTCCTCAACCTGCCTCCTCCACAAGCGATCATGCGATCTGAGGTGAGGCCCTAACCCTGGGCTTCTTTACCCAGCAACAAAGGCCCGTCCAGCTCTCCACTTTCTGGCTCTCAAATGCCTGGTCTCCCTCCACCAGACTCAGTGTTCTCTTGGCTGGAAATGCATGTGGTATTAAGTTGAGAAAAGCCAGGACGTGTTCATACATTTCATTTGTTTGTTATAGAGTTTGGACTGGTGCAGAGCAACCGTGTCACTGAGAAATGGAACTGCTTTAACATTTTCCTACGAAGGGAGAATTAAACCTTCATGGGGGAAATATGACGCATTTCTGAGCCCTAAAACCCCTTATTCCTGAACTCTCTCTCCTTTGGCCTCAAACTGGCCTATTATCCATGCTGGCCAGGAGTCCATCCACACTGTCCCCTGAGCTCTTGCTCTTGGCCAGCCCAGGGCTGGGTGTCCCTGCCTTTGAGGAACAGCCACTCTTGTGTGAGGTTGTTACTCAGGGCAGGGCAAAATCACCAGAGCCGCTTTGAAAAATTCAGATGTCAGGCCTGACCCTGAGCTGACTGAACCAGAACCCCAAAGGGTCCAAGCAGAGGTTTGCTTTCAGAGCTCCAAAAGTGTTCTGAGGATTTTAAACCTCCTGATGGTCCTGGGGTCAGACCTTCTGGCTCCACATCTTCGGAGCCCAGCAGGAGGCTGTGGTACTCCCATCCCCAGGGGCTCCAAGCTGTGACCCAGGAAGGCAAGGTTTTCTGCAGTGTGACCTGGCTACAGGGCAGTGGCGGGAGGGCACGGGTGACATTTGGGCTCACCAGCCCTAACCACCTGCAGGTCTGGGCCTTGAAGCCTGGCTCCCATGACATCTGTTCCCGCCTTCTCTCCAGGACGAACAACCACCCTTTCCCCACACCAAGCCCTGGAACGAGGCTGGTCACCCATTAGTCCCGCAGCATGCCACAGGGGTCTGTCTCCCCACTCCTGTTCCTGCCCAGCCCCTGCCATGCACGCTCTTTTAATTTCAAGTCTCACTCTGTATTCAAGACCTGTCTCAAGGTTCTGTGTGGGAAGTCCTTCCACCCCCCCGCTGGTTGGTAAAATAGATGATGACCTGTCTCCAATGCTGACGCTGTGTGTGACCTGCATGAGCTGAGTGTTGTTAGCTCAGTGACCTCACGGTCGCAGCTGGCATGCCACACAATGGGGGACAGGCATTTTTTAGTCCACTGGTGACGTCTATGCGAGCAAACAAACTAGCATCCCTATGTGGGAGAGGCACTCATCTCACTGAACAAGAAGTGCCCCTGTTGAGGGGTCAGGCCGGTGGCGTGGCCCCCTCTGTGGGCAGGGTGTGTGCATCTTTGTTTTTGTCTGAGATCCCAGAAGGGGATCAGATCATTGACTCCCCTGTCTTTCACACTGACCTCTGCCAGGTACTCAGTGTGACAGATTTGTTCAGAGGCTGGAGAGCTAAACAACAAGCAAAGGGAGGTGGTGAGGTGTAAAGAAGTGTGGGTGACTGCAAGGGTGGACGTGAGGGCTGAAAGGCCCCTGGGCTGCCATGGAGGGGTCACAGACACACCTTGCTCTGGAGAAGGGAGGCCCAGTGGGAGGGCAATGGGGCCAGCAGGGTTGGAGCCAAGTTCAGTCACTCTTCCCATAATCTGGCATCTTCCAGCTGTGGGCTCCTTTTTTCTAGAATTTCTCCGGCCCAGCCTCTGGCCCAAGTCCCTCCTCAGACAGGTGTACTTCAGTCCAGCTGAGTGCAGCCCACGCTTGACCAGTGGTGGCTTCATCTGTCACAACGTGGCAGGGGAGCAGGCAGCATGGGCAAGGGTGGCTGAAATCTGCAAAGGCTACAGGGCAGGAACAGGGCTTTGGAGTCACTCTCTAGACATGCAAACGTAAACAAGCCTTTTAGCATCTGAGCCTCAGTGTCCT